AAAGAACCGTACGGTCAATCGAACAGGTTAAAAATTTAAAGAAACAATACGATCGTAAAGACGTACATCCTCGGGGGGAAGGCCGGTCACACTGCTGAGGATGCTGCTTCTCCTTCGAAGACCCATATTTTGTTTCTTGCTGAGATTCAAAAATACTTCCTCCAAGCTGTCCGCGTTGTGCATCTCCATCAATTTCGTCGGCGATTCCTCGGCCAGTAACTTACCGCCCCTCATCAAACCGATGATACCAGCTTGTCTCGTCTCTTCGATGTAGTGGGTGGTAATCACGATGGTTCTGTTGCCGTTTCTCGTCAAGTCGACGAGATAGTCCCAGATATTTTGTCGCAAAACAGGATCCACACCGACCGTGGGTTCGTCCAGGATCATCAACTCTGGATCAGCGACAAGAGCCGCGGCGAAAGACACTCGTCTCTGCTGACCACCCGACAAATTCTTCACGAAACGATTCGCCGACGGTAGCTGCAAGAACTGACGAAACGATTCGCACACGTAAACGACGCTTCACACCGTCCAAGAGTCGGAATTGCCCGAACTAGGCAGACTTTTACCTTTCGTATTTCGCACCGTACGAAGCGTAACTAAACGAACACGAGTACGCAAGGTGCCGCGAGTATCTCGGATCTCTCGAAACTTTCCACAAACGTACAAGTAAAACCTGGCGGCGTAACGATCGAACGCAAGAACGAAACGCAACCTGTCGGTACTTTACACTCGGATCGTTACGCTCGATTCGTGAAATTATCAGGGAAAAATACGACTCACTCTGAAACGGACTTTGGAGATTTCGTCACGATTCTCGCGTTCGACGTATACGACGTATACGATCGCGAAAGGCGAAACCAAATTTTAGAACGTCGATTTTTCATCATCGCTCGGAGCGTCGATCTTATATTTCGAAAACAGCGACATCGTTGAACAAGTTTAAATTATTTTTTTTTTTCAAGTCGATCGACGTCACACGACGATTAGATCATTGCCTGTCACGCGTCGCAGTAATTAGCACGAACGAACGAGTTCCACCGACTCGGTCGATCATTCCGTAGCGCAACAAACAAAGCGACGATATCGATTTTTTCTTCGTCCGTCGATCTACGCAAATTCAAACGAGACTCTTCTCTCTGTCGTATCCCGCAATTATTCAATCGCAGGATATCGCAGGACATCGACAGACCATCAACTGGAATCACGATCGGGATTACTCACCTTTACGAGAAAGTGCGTCTTCTCTTCAACTTTTTGCGTAGTTATACCGGCGCACCAGCCGAAATATATCAACGTTTCTCTTATGGAGAATTCGCCGTACAGCGCGATTTCCTGCGGCATGTAACCCACTCGTGGACCAGGAACACCCGATCCTTTGGAGCCTGGTCGACCACCGAGCACCCAGATCTCGCCGGAATTCAAACGCTTTCGACCCACGATGCAAGAAAGCAACGTGGTCTTTCCGCAACCACTCGCACCGAGCAGACCGTATCTGAAAATATTCCAGTCCATGTACATCGTTGTACGTTTCAACACGTAACAATCGAACGCCACCAATTTCGTCCCGCGTCGTTACACGGAAACGCGACAAACATTCGAGGACAACGTACGACGCGTAACAAATATTTTAAAATCGTATCGCGCAACGACGATAAGCGCGATCACGCGGAACGAACTGTATCGCGTCGTCACTCACCTTACCGCGTATTCCGCGTATTCGTCGACGATTCGAAAGCCAAAGCTTTCCTCTCGTTTCAAAGACGGACGACAACGTATTCGCAACGTCTCGATTTATCTTTTCTTTTTCTCTCTTTACCCCCCGACGGACACGCGGCACTCTACAATCTACACAGCAACGAGTCCGCACGTAGAGCCGCTTCTCATCATTCGGAAAGAAACAGAGCATCGATCGGCGAACGCGTATAATCTTGGAATTGTCTCGCGTACATTTTTTTTTTTTTTTTTTTTTTTTTTTTGCAAACGAGCAGAAAAGAAAGAAAGACGGAGAAAAAAGCCAGGAACAGCAAGAAGCTGCTTCGCACATTTCCGCTTCGGCTGATTCACGGTAAAATTTGGCACACGAGATATTCGTTTCGAAGGAGACAAGGAGTTACCGACGACTAGACCGGACTGGAAAATTCAAAATAGCTTCTTCACTCCAAAGTTTAAAAGGTGGAAAGACGAAAGAAACTGAAACAAGTCGACTACTTACACGCTCGACGCATCGTAAGTGGGTGTAAAACGACTTACCAGCGACAAAAAAGCTTCGTAGCAAAGAGGGTTAATCGCGAAACTTACATCGCGCCTTTCGGCACGGTCATGTTCAGCCCGTCCAAGATGACGTTGGGATTATTTTTCGAGCCATACTTCTTGCAGGCCCTTCTCACGTACACCGCTTGTCTCTTTTTCGCGTCCAAAGTCGAGACTTGCGTTTGAAGGGGAGGTCTTCGAGTCTCGAGTTCCAAGGAAGCGGGAGGTGCTTCCGACGTGTTATCGGCGTCCTCCATTTCTACGGCAAAGAAAGCGATCGGTAAGCGATTCACAACACGATCGACGAAGGATTTCGCGCACGGGTTTACCGTCCGACCGCTACTCCGACAAGAAAAAAACCATCAGAACCTGCTGCATTTTCTTCCAACGATCACGAAAGCGGCTCGACTCGTTGGTCAAAACAATCGGAACGATCGACAAGTTGCCGGTTAATTTGAAATTAGCACGGCAAGACGAGACGACGAGACGACGAGA